TGTGAGTGTGTGTGTGTGTGTGTGTGTGTGTGTAGTGTGTGTGTGTGTGTGTGTGTGTGTATGTGTGTGTGTGTGTGTGTGAGTGTGTGTGTGTGTGTATAGTGTGTGTGTGTGTGTGTGTGTGTGTGTATAGTGTGTGTGTGTGTGTGTGTGTGTGTATAGTGTGTGTGTGTGTGTGTATAGTGTGTGTGTGTGTGTGTGTGTGTGTGTGTGTGTAGAGTGTGTGTAGTGTGTGTGTGTGTGTGTGTGAGTGTGTGTGTAGTGTGTGTAGTGTGTGTAGAGTGTGTGTAGTGTGTGTGTGTGTGTGTGTGTGTGTAGTGTGTGTATGTGTGTGTGTGTGTGTGTATAGTGTGTGTGTGTGTGTGTGTGTGTATATAGTGTGTGTGAGTGTGTGTGTGTGTGTGTGTGTGTGTGTGTGTGTGTGTGTGTGTGTGTGTGTGTGTGAGTGTGTGATGTGTGTGGTGTGTGTGTGTGTGTGTGTGTGTGTGTGTGTGTGTGTGTGTGTGTGTGTGTATAGTGTGTGAGTGTGTGTGTAGTGTGTGTGTGTGTAGTGTGTGTGTGTGTGTGTGTGTGTGTATCATGTACCCGCGCTCCGCAGGCTCTGGGGTGGCGTCCTCGCTCCAGTCTCTCTTCAGGTACTGATTGGCCAGTTTGTGCAGCGCCTGAGGACACAGGACGGACACACAGTGAGTTCGAACTGTGAAGAGTTTAAAAAACATTTAGAGATGAATTAATTATGATCTGTAATGAATTAATCTAATTCATCTCTTTTTTTAATCTCACCTAAAATTTGCTGAGAAAAGCTTCAATTTGAGGTATTTTCATTTAAATTCATGATGACATTATTGTGGCAAATCAAAACACTGATATAGAACAAAAAAAAGTGACTTTATATGTTTAACAAACTTTAACAGATGCAGTCAACTTACATTATTACTAATCTGAACAGATTACAATTATAGATGTCGTGATCTCGTCTCTCGGACGTCGTGGTTTGGACTCGGTCTTGTCTCTCACTCGAGGTCTGACACTCAACAAGTGTGATCATATTTCATTGCGGCCGCTGCTGTGTGGTAAATAAACTTGTAGCGGGTGCAGGAGCGTGTGGGGCGTCTCAGTGCAGCCTGTGCGCTCATTTGAAACCCGCGGAGACTCTACGGCGCATCACAAACACACACGCTCCCTACGCACGGCTCGTCTGCGACAGCGTGTGCCCTCGTGTACCAGCGTGCATCACAGGGCAGGTTCAACTTCCTAAACATCCTACCTGTCCACCTGCCTCACGTCAGCACGCCCCTCGCCTTTTTCACGCTCTCGCTCCTTCCCTGCGTACAGCCAACACAAGCCCTCCACAGTGCGGCTGATTAGAAGAGCAAGACCAAAACGTGGAGCAAAAACAGCCTAATTTGTGTTCCAGTGTTGGCACAAAGCAGGTCTACAGCATAGAGCGGATCTACAGAACAGACCTACTGCCACATTTGGCTGAAGTTTGTCTAACAAAAGTGACAAATGCATCTGTGTTTGTCACGATGTGCGTTTGGTTTGGTAACGTGCAGAGGCTGGTAAATATCACTGCAAAACCACAAAAAGAATGAAACTCCAGTTTGGAACTTTAAAAAACAGGTTTAAAAAATCTTCCTTCACTTTTTTCACAGTTTTGTGTAAAGTGTCAGAGGAAGTTCTCTTAAAGAAGAGGTTCTCAAACTGTGGGGGAGGGTCCAGAAAAGGGCCACAGAGTTTTCAGTGCAGTTTGTTTGACTTTGTATCAGGTCGATCATTTTGACTTGGTCATTTTGTAAGAAGCTCACATGATGAAAAAGTGTGAACACCTCTGATCTAGATCCACATCAGCTGTTTGACATGATCATGTGTTTAATGCAGATTTGTACAAATCTCACAGAAACAAAACTTAAAACCACATGACTCATTTACATAAAGTAAGAAGAGAAAAGAAAAAAAACGCTCTTGTGAATGTGGTTCAGTTTGTGTGGACTCACAGTGAATATGAGTGTTCTCTCTGTGTCAGAGGGGTGTTCTCTCTGTGACAGAGGGGTGTTCTCTCTGTGTGTTCAGAGGGGTGTTCTCTCTGTGTCAGATGTTCTCTCTGTGACAGAGGGGTGTTCTCTCTGTGTCAGAGGGGTGTTCTCTCTGTGACAGAGGGGTGTTCTCTCTGTGTGTCTCTCTGTGTCTCTCTGTGTCAGAGGGGTGTTCTCTCTGTGTCAGAGGGGTGTTCTCTCTGTGTGTCTCTCTGTGAGAGGGTGTTCTCTCTGTGTCAGAGGGGTGTTCTCTCTGTGTCAGAGGGGTGTTCTCTCTGTGTCAGAGGGGGTGTTCAGAGGGGTGTTCTCTCTGTTCTGTGTGTCAGAGGGGTGTTCTCTCTGTGTGTTCAGAGGGGTGTTCTCTCTGTGTCAGAGGGGTGTTCTCTCTGTGTGAGGGGTGTTCTCTCTGTGTTCTCTCTGTGTCAGAGGGGTGTTCTCTCTGTGTGAGGGGTGTTCTCTCTGTGACAGAGGGGTGTTCTCTCTGTGTGTTCAGAGGGGTGTTCTCTCTGTGTCAGAGGGGTGTTCCTCTGTGAGAGGGGTGTTCTCTCTGTGTCAGAGGGGTGTTCTCTCTGTGTGTGTTCTCTCTGTGTGAGAGGGGTGTTCTCTCTGTGTGAGAGGGTTTCTCTCTGTGAGAGGGGTGTTCTCTCTGTGTCAGAGGGTGTGTGACAGAGGGGTGTGTCAGAGGGGTGTTCTCTCTGTGTCAGAGGGGTGTTCTCTCTGTGTCAGAGGGGTGTTCTCTCTCTGTGTCAGAGGGGTGTTCTCTCTGTGTCAGAGGGGTGTTCTCTCTGTGTCACAGAGGTCTCTCTGTGTCAGAGGGGTGTTCTCTCTGTGTCAGAGGGGTGTTCTCTCTGTGAGAGGGGTGTTTCTCTCTGTGACAGAGGGGTGTTCTCTCTGTGTGTGTCAGAGGGGTGTTCTCTCTGTGTCAGAGGGGTCTCTCTGTGTCAGAGGGGTGTTCTCTCTGTGTCAGAGGGGTGTTCTCTCAGAGGGGTGTGTGTGTTCAGAGGGGTGTTCTCTCTGTGACAGAGGGGTGTCAGAGGGGTGTTCTCTCTGTGTCAGAGGGGTGTTCTCTCTGTGAGAGGGGTGTTCAGAGGGGTGTTCTCTCTGTGTCAGAGGGGTGTTCTCTCTGTGTGTTCTCTCTGTGAGAGGGGTGTTCTGTGGTGGTGAGAGGGGTGTTCTCTCTGTGTCTGTGTTTTCTCTGTGTCTGTTTATGTTCACTGATGTTCTCTCTGTGAGCGAGAACAAGAATGAAACTGAGTTGTTTGCAGAAGCGACGTGTTTGTCTCAACATAAAAACAGATTTTATAATAAATCAACTCCCACAGAAACAGTAAAGTTAGAGATGAAAAATGAGATTAACACGATTAAAAAACATAACGAGCTAAATATGACTGAAATTAATTCATCACAATTAACGTGATAATTTGACACACCTAGAGTGTGTGACCCCTGTGTGACCCCTGTGTGACCCCTGTGTGACCCCTGACCCCTGACCCCCGTGTGACCCTCAGAGCAGATCGCTGACACACTCTTCCCGTTTCGTCTCAGCTCCGTTGAAACAGGTGAAACGCCGACGCAGCAGAATTCTGCTCTCACACAGAAAACACTCTGTTCCACCTTGTGATGTCATCGTGTGCTGATACAGGAAGTGCTCCGGTGTGTTTTTATATTTATCTGTGCACAGTTACGTCCAACACATTTTGAGTTGTTCATAAATACTTCTACTATCTCTACTCAACGAAAACGACCACTGCATGACATCACGAGGTGGAACAGAGTGTCTGGAGTTTTGGAGATGAAACAGTAAAAGTGCAAGAGTGTAAAAGTTCTAAAGTTTAAAAATGTAAACATTTTAAAGTGTAAAAGTTTTAAAATGTAAAAGTGTAAAAAGTGTAAAAAGTGTAAAAAGTGTAAAAAGTGTAAAAAGTGTAAAAGTGTAAAAGTGAATGTTCCCCTCGTGTCAGATTGAGTCGACTGTTGTTTGCTGAAGCTGAACTTATTTTAAGAAGAAAAAGCCACTTCCTGTGAGCGCTCGGCCTCACCACTAAATCTAAACATGGACATAAACCCAGAACACACACTTCACACAAGGCCCCGACACACGAGGCCCCGACACACGAGGCCCCGACACACGAGGCCCCGACACACGCCCACGTTCTGTGATCCCACATGTTACAGATAAAACAGACGATATATTTAGTGACGTAAACGTTCAGTTTGGCTCCAGTGGATTTTAAACAGTTTTATTGGTGATATTTTATTGTTCTTCTGTGTTTTTACGTCACATTTAAAGTCTGGAGCTCAGAACAAAGACGTTTTTACACCTCGTCTGTAAACAAAGTAAAACACCTCTGTGTGTGCGTCTGTCATTAATGTAAATGTGGATCATTCACACAGTGCAGGTCCAGTCACACGTGCACACACTAGACTCACTTCACACTAGAACAGAGTGTTTATGTGGAGCTGCAGCAGCGCGGCGACGTCACATCCTCCATGTTCACCCCAGACACTTCCTCCAGCTCCTCCAGTGGGACCTGAGGTGTTCCCAGTCCAGTCCAGAGACATGGTCCCTCCAGTGTGTCCTGGGTCTCCTCCTCCTCCTGCTGGGACATGAACACCTCCTGAGGGACACGTCCAGGAGACGTCAGAACAGACGTCCTCACTGTTTTTATGGACAGAGGTTCTGGGGTCGGAGGGTCTGAGGACCACAGGATCATCTCTGCTTCATCAGACCAGGACCTGCAGCTCTGGGGCCGTTTGACCCGAGTGTGAAGCGTCTGGATGAAGATCGGCTCCTCCAAGTCCGAGGTCGAGGTTCTGGACCGGAAAAAGTCGTTTTGTCGTCTCCGGGCGAGTGGAGAGTCTCTGCCTCAAGTGGACGAGTTCAAGTGTCGCGGTTTTGTTCTCGAGTGAGACTGACAGGTGGACAGGTGCGGCGTGGGCAGATTGACAGGTGGACAGGTGCAGCGTGGGCAGACTGACAGGTGGACAGGTGCAGTGTGGGCAGATTGACAGGTGGACAGGTGCGGCGTGGGCAGACTGACAGGTGGACAGGTGCAGTGTGGGCAGACTGACAGGTGGACAGGTGCGGCGTGGGCAGACTGACAGGTGGACAGGTGCAGGCGTGGGCAGACAGGTGACAGGGACAGGTGCAGTGGCAGGCAGGTGGACAGGTGCAGTGTGGGCAGATTGACAGGTGACAGTGTGGCAGTGGACAGATTGACAGGTGGACAGGTGCGGCGTGGGCAGATTGACAGGTGGACAGGTGCAGTGGGCGGCAGTGATGCGGTTGTGGTGAAGAGGAGCTGATGTCCCTCCCCTCACCTCTGGTCATGACTCGAGCTCTGGTCATGACTCGAGCTCTGGACATGACTCGAGCTCTGGTCATGACTCGAGCTCTGGTCATGACTCGAGCTCTGGACATGACTCGAGCTCTGGTCATGACTCGAGCTCTGGTCATGACTCGAGCTCTGGACATGACTCGAGCTCTGGACATGTCTCGAGCTCTGGTCATGACTCGAGCTCTGGTCACAACCTGAAGGACCAGATCCATGCGTCTTGTACGACGACATTCATGAGTCTGTGAACTGGATTAAAGGACAGAGTCACACACACACAAACACACACACACACAGAGTCACACACACACACACACACACACAGAGTCACACACACACACACACACACACACAGAGTCACACACACACACACACACACACACAGAGTCACACACACACACACACACAGAGTCACACACACACACACACACACACACACACACACACACACACACACACACACACACACACACACACACACACACACACACACACACACACACACACACACACACACACACACACACACACAGAGTCACACACACACACACACACACACAGTCACACACACACACACACACACACACACAGAGTCACACACACACACACACACACACACACAGAGTCACACACACACACACACACACACACAGAGTCACACACACACACACACACACAGAGTCACACACACACACACACACACACACACACAGAGTCACACACACACACACACACAGAGTCACACACACACACACACAGAGTCACACACACACACACACACACACACACACACACACACAGTCACACACACACACAGAGTCACACACACAGAGTCACACACACACACACACACACAGAGTCACACACACACAGAGTCACACACACACACACACAGACACACACACACACACACACACAGAGTCACACACACACACACACACACAGAGTCACACACACACACACACACAGAGTCACACACACACACACACACACACACACACACACACAGAGTCACACACACACACACACACACACACACAGAGTCACACACACACAGTCACACACACACACACAGAGTCACACACACACACAGAGTCACACACACACACACACACACACAGAGTCACACACACACACACAGTCACACACACACACACACACACAGAGTCACACACACACACACACACACACACACACAGAGTCACACACACACACACACACACACACACACACAGTCACACACACACACACACACACAGAGTCACACACACACACACACACACACACACACACACACAGAGACACAGTGGGCCTCTGTTCTGAGTCTGTGAGGACGTCTTTCTGTGGACGACAGAGCAGGAGGGATGAGCTCAGGAGGAGGAGGAGGAGATGAAGAGGAGGAGGAGGAGCCGGATGCTGGTGTGTGTGAGCAGAACGTGACCAGACTCACAGGTGGAAGAGACGGAGCGAGAGGACGTTTCACACCGGACCTCGAACCGTTCATCCAGACTCAGCCGTAAACGAACCCGAGCTCCTCTCAAACTCTTCTCCTCACACGTTTCTCCATGTTCTTCTGCAGCCGCTTCCTCTCGCGGTTCCTCTCGCGGTTCCTCTCGCGGTTCCTCTCGCGGTTCCTCTCGCGGTTCCTCTCGCGGGTTCCTCTCGCGGGTTCCTCTCGCGGTTCCTCTCGCGGTTCCTCTCGCGGTTCCTCTCGCGGTTCCTCTCGCGGTTCCTCTCGCGTCGTGTTTGGAGAGATTCATGTTGGAATAAACTTTAATCTTATTTTCAAGACTCCATTTTGCAGATCTGCTCCCATTTTATTTTTGAAGAGTTTTGGATTTGGGCTTTTATTCTGAAAAGCTCCACACACACACACATGCACACACACTCTGTCTATACACACATGGACACACACACACTCTGTCCACACACACACTGAACATTCCTCAAACCTGTGTGAAAGTCCGACCACAAACACACAAGAGACGAGAGACGATAATGAATCTGAAATGAAGCTCCCTGAAGATCTGGAGTCAGGTCATGTGTCATGTGCAGTCAGGTCCATGTGCAGTCAGGTCCATGTGAGGATGTGTGGCGGCTTCAGAAGAACATCTCAGACCAAACTGAGGCTCCCCCTGACCTGGTGAATGTGAGCGTCACAGACGTGAGACTCACCTGGGCGTAGTCGCGCTCGAGCGCCGCTCGCTTCTGACTGAACGTCCTGAACACAAGGAAAGAAAATCAATCAAATGAGTCAAATCGAGAGGCTCCAGAAAAGAAAAGTCGTGTGTGAGATGTTCTTGTACTCGGGTTTTGGACTCTGGACACTAAACTAAACTCCCTCCTGAAGCTTTTCTCCGCCTCTGAGGCTGTGGGGTGATGATTGACAGTCTCCAGACGCCAGAGTCTGAGCTCCTCATGTAATAAACCTGGTCTAAACCTGGTCTAAACCTGGTCTAAACCTGGTCTAAACCTGGTCTAAACCTGGTCTAAACTGTTAGTCCAACCTGATGATCCAAACGTCGTGTTGTAGTTGATCATAAATCATTTTCTGTTTCAGAATCAGGAGGAGACAGTGTGTCTGGTGTTGTGTGACTCTTTAAAGTGACAGTTCACACGTCACACTGTGTGAACTGTTCACACGTCACACTGTGTGAACTGTTCTGAACAGTTCACACGTCACCAGAACCGTTTGTTCAGCCACAGTTTGGTCCAAAACATCTCAAAGCTCCTGCACACGGTCCCTGTCACACACACCCCATAAACTGTACAACAACTCAGCCTCACGTCACAGATAATACTCCCTACAACTGTTCCAGAGTCCGAGTCCGAGTCCGAGTCGTGACCAGAGTCTCACCTCAGGTCGTCCAGGAGGTCACAGTCGCTCTGGTGTTTGATCTGCAGACGGTTCATCTGCTCCACGTGAACGTGCTTCAACTCCTGAGTCACCCGCACCTGCACACAGACAGGTGCACACAGACAGGTGCACACACGTTAGACAGGTGCACACAGACAGGTGCACACAGACAGACAGGTGCACACAGACAGGTGCACACACGTGAGACAGGTGCACACAGACAGGTGCACACAGACAGGTGCACACAGACAGGTGCACACAGACAGGTGCACACACGTTAGACAGGTGCACACAGACAGGTGCACACAGACAGGTGCACACACGTTAGACAGGTGCACACAGACAGACAGGTGCACACAGACAGACAGGTGCACACAGACAGGACAGGTGCACACACAGACAGGACAGGTGCGCACACAGACAGGACAGGTGCACACACAGACAGGACAGGTGCGCACACAGACAGGACAGGTGCGCACACAGACAGGACAGGTGCGCACACAGACAGGACAGGTGCGCACACAGACAGGACAGGTGCGCACACAGACAGGACAGGTGCGCACACAGACAGGACAGGTGCAGGGATCGTTGGGGAGTTGCAGATCCACACCTCGATACAAAAGCCTCGATACGATTGTGGATTTCGACTTTTCCGAAAATTCTAAGATTTTCAGAGCAACTTGTGGTTCGGAAAATACAGCACGTTTCTCGATACGATAGATTTCAAATCAATTTAATACGATTCAGTAAAAAACAAATATCATATCTTTATTAAACCACTAAACTTGTGCAGAGTAGAGCTCGACCGATATGGATTTTGTTGTGGCCGATATGATACCGATATAATGTGAGTTGGAGCTGCCGATATAATCGCTACTTAGTGATGTAAAAATTCACTGTAAATCTTGAATTATTAAAAAAAAACTTCGGTTTGGCTCTGGTGGATTTTAAACTGGGTTTATTCAAGAAACATTTATTGTTCTTCTGCCTCTTTACATGAAATGTCACAGGACTAAAGCAGGACTGAACCAGGTCTGGTACACAGAGGAATACAGCCATATTTAGATATTTTTGCACACTCCTAGTGAATATGGACACACTTCATGCTCCATCAACTCACAGATAATACTCCCTACAACTGTACAACTCATCTGTATGTAACAGATAATACTCCCTACTACTGTACAAAAAAAAATACATTAAATAAAAACAAATTAAATTAAATAAAAACAAATAAAATAAAAATAAATAAAGTTAAAACAAAACAAATAAAATACAAATAAATAAAATAAAAACAAATACAATTAAATAAAAACTAATAAAATAAAAACAAATAAATAAAATAAAAACAAATAAAATAAAATAAAAATAAATAAAGTTAAAACAAATCAATTAAAACAAAAATAAATAAAATTAAATTAAAACAAATAAAATAAAATAAATTAAAATCAAAACAAACCAAACCCCAGGATCATGTGTCGTGGTTCATGTGAACGTTTAAAGCAGGCATGTCCAAACTATGGCCCGGGGGCCAAATGCGGCCCTCAGACAAGTTTTTCTTGGCCCTCAGACTTCCAGGTGAACTGGCCCAAACGACCTTGCATCAATTGAAAAATTATTTTTTACTGCAAGTTTTTTGAAAATCTACCTTGATAAAGCCAATATTTAATATTTAGTGTTTGGTTTTAAGGATCTTAGCATGAATAAAGTCTGATGGTTCATTCTAACATGTTAAACATGCACATATTTCAATTATTCCCTGTAGTGAGCATCAGTCTACGGCCCTCGATCGGCCTCTGCTTCATCTGTGTTTAGATATGTGGCCCTTGATGAAAAAAGTTTGGACACCCCTGGTTTAAAGAGTTTGGCAGCCGCAGGGACAGAGCCACAAACTGGAGCCACAGTGGATGGAGCTGGACTCGTGCCCGTGTTCACTTCCTGTTCGGAGCGCGTCGTGCCCGTGTTCACTTCCTGTTCGGAGCGCGTTTATCCGTCTGCGTTTACATTTATGAGAGTGTTTGTGGAGTTTATCAGAGACATAAACGGAGCCGAGGGCAAAGTCCAGACTCACTCCAACCGTAAAAGTGTAATAAACGAGTAATAAACGCTTAAGTAACACGAGTAATAAACGCTTATGTAAGACCGGCCGTCGCTCTTCATCTGCCGCCGCCAACGCCAACACCAACACCTCCAACACCAACACCAACACCTCCAACGCCAACGCCAACACCAACGCCAACACCAACACCAACGCCTCCAACACCAACACCAACGCCTCCAACACCAACGCCTCCAACGCCAACACCAACGCCTCCAACACCAACACCAACACCTCCAACACCAACACCACGCCTCCAACACCAACACCAACGCCTCCAACGCCAACACCTCCAACACCAACACCAACACCTCCAACGCCAACACCAACACCTCCAACACCAACACCTCCAACACCAACACCAACACCCAACACCAACACCCAACACCAACACAACGCCTCCAACACCATCACCAACGCCTCCAACGCCAACACCTCCAACACCAACACCAACACCTTCCAACACCAACACCTCCAACACCAACAAACACCAACCACCTCCAACACCAACACACCAACACCTCCAACACCAACACCAACGCCTCCAACACCAACACCAACACCTCCAACACCAACACCCAACGCCTCCAACACCAACACAACGCCTCCAACGCCAACACCAACTCCAACACCAACGCAAACACCAACACCTCCAACACCAACACCTCCAACACCAACACCTGCCAACACCAACACCCAACACCTCCAACACCAACAACACCTCCAACACCAACAACACCAACGCCTCCAACACCAACACCAACACCTCCAACACCAACACCTCCAACACCAACACCAAACGCCTCCAACACCAACCACCAACACCTCCAACACCAACACCAACGCCTCCAACACCAACACCTCCAACACCAACACCAACACCTCCAACACCAACACCAACGCCTCCAACACCAACGCCTCCAACGCCAACACCTCCAACACCAACCAACACCAACACCACCAACAACCAACACCAACCCTCCAACACCAACACCTCCAACGCCAACGCCTCCAACACCAACGCCAACACCAACACCAACGCCTCCAACGCCAACACCTCCAATGCCAACACCAACACCTCCAACGCCAACACCAACACCAACGCCTCCAACGCCAACGCCTCCAACGCCAACGCCTCCAACACCAACGCAAACACCAACACCAACGCCTCCAACGCCAACACCAACGGCCTCCAACGCCAACACCAACGCCTCCAACGCCAACGCCAACACCAACAAACACCAACACCTCCAACACCAAGCCTCCAACCCAACACCAACACCAACGCCTCCAACGCCAACACCAACACAACACCAACACCAACACCTCCACAACACCCAACGCCTCCAACGCCAACACCAACGCCAACCCAACACCAACACCTCCAACACCAACACCAACGCCTCCAACGCCAACACCAACGCCATCCAACGCCAACACCCCAACACCAACACCAACACCTCCAACACCAACACCTCCAACACCCAAACACCAACGCCTCCAACACCAACACCAACACCTCCAACACCAACACCAACACCTCCAACGCCAACACCAACACCAACACCAACGCCTCCAACGCCAACGCCAACCCAACGCCAACGCCAACGCCAACCAACGCCAACACCAACGCCAACAACGCCAACACCAACGCCTCCAACAACGCCAACACCAACACCAAACACCTCCAACGCCAACACCTCCAACGCCAACCACCAACACCTCCAACCCAACGCCAACACCTCCAACACCAACAACCAACGCCAAACCTCCAACACCAACACCAACGCCAACCAACGCCAACGCCTCCAACGCCAACGCCAACGCCTCCAACGCCAACACCAACGCCCAACACCCAACGCCCCCTCCAACACCAACACCAAACGCCTCCAACGCCAACACCAACGCCAACGCCTCCAACACCAACACCAACGCCAACACCAACACCAACGCCTCCAACGCCAACACCACCAACGCCTCCAACGCCTCCAACGCCAACACCAACGCCTCCAACGCCAACACCTCCAACACCAACACCAACACCTCCAACACCAACACCTCCAACGCCAACACCAACGCCAACACCAACGCCAACACCTCCAACGCCAACACCTCCAACAACCAACACCAACACCAACACCTCCAACACCACCAACACCTCCAACGCCAACACCCAACGCCAACCAACACCTCCAACACCAACACCTCCAACACCAACACCTCCAACACCAACACCCAACACCAACACCTCCAAACACCAAACACCAACACCTCAACGCCACACCTCCAACGCCAACACCTCCAACACCAACACCAACACCTCCAACACCAACACCAACACCTCCACGCCAACACCTCCAACGCCAACACCTCCAACGCCAACACCCCCAACGCCAACACCTCCAACACCAACACCAACACCAACACCAACGCCAACACCTCCAACGCCAACACCTCCAACACACCAACACCTCCAACACCAACACCAACACCTCCAACGCCAACACCTCCAACACCAAACACCTCCAACACCAACACCAAACAACTCCAACGCCAACACCTCCAACGCCAACGCCAACACCAACGCCAACACCAACACCAACGCCTCCAACGCCAACACCAACGCCTCCAACGCCAACACCTCCAACGCCAACACCAACACCTCCAACACCAACGCCTCCAACACCAACGCCAACGCCAACACCAACGCCTCCAACACCATCACCAACGCCAACGACACAAACACCAACACCCAACGCCAACACCTCCAACGCCAACACCTCCAACGCCAACACCAACGCCAACACCTCCCAACGCCAACACCTCCAACGCCAACCCTCCAACGCCAACACCAACGCCCCAACACCAACACCAACGCCAACGACACAAACACCAACACCTCCAACGGTCTGCGTGTGTACGGTCTGCGTGTGTACGGTCTGCGTGTGTACGGTTGTTGTTGTTGTTGTCGTGTCATTTCTGTTTTTTTGTTCGTTGCGACAGTTTGGACTTTTGTCGTTTCAGGAACTTTCCCAACGTGTCGTCATCAAACACACAAACACACACACACACACACACACACACACACACACACACACACACACACACACACACACACACACACACACACACACACACACACACACACACACACACACACACACACACACAAACACACACACACACACACACACACACACACACACACACACACACACACACACACACACACACACACACACACACACACCCCCACACACACACACACACACACACACACACACACACACACACACACACACACACACACACACACACACACACACACACACACACACACACACACACACACACACACACACACACACACACACACACACACACACAAACACAAAGTCACAAAAGTTCCACTGTTACACAAAACGGACGACGCCTGGGAACTTCACGTCAAGATCTAAAACTGAAAAACTCACAAACATTTAAATCCTCAAAACAGAAAATGTCAAATGTGTCGCACAAACGAGTTTCCTTCAACCAAAAAACAAACAAACAACAACAAACTGAAGCTGGAACGAAACTATTTAGAAAATGATTTAGTTAATATGACTAAGTTTAAGCCAGGAAACCAGGTCTAAACCAGGACTAAACCAGGACTAAACCAGGTCTAAACTAAACCAGGTCTAAACCAGGACTAAACCAGGTCTAAACCAGGTCTAAACCAGGACTAAACCAGGTCTAAACCAGGAAACCAGGTAAAACCAGGACTAAACCAGGTCTAAACCAGGTCTAAACCAGGTCTAAACCAAGGACTAAACCAGGTCTAAACCAGGACTAAACCAGGAAACCAGGTAAACCAGGTCTAAACCAGGACTAAACCAGGTCTAAACCAGGACTAAACCAGGACTAAACCAGGACTAAACCAGGTCTAAACCAGGACTAAACCACTAAACGGACTAAACCAGGTCTAAACCTAAACCAGGACTAAAACCAGGACTAAACCAGGAGGTCTAAACCAGGACTAAACCAGGACTAAACCAGGTCTAAACCAGGTCTAAACCAGGACTAAACCAGGTCTAAACCAGGACTAAACCAGGACTAAACCAGGTCTAAACCAGGTCTAAACCAGGTCTAAACCAGGACTAAACCAGGAAACCAGGTCTAAACCAGGTCTAAACCAGGTCTAAACCAGGTCTAAACCAGGACTAAACCAGGACTAAACCAGGTCTAAACCAGGTCTAAACCAGGACTAAACCAGGTCTAAACCAGGTCTAAACCAGGTCTAAACCAGGACTAAACCAGGTCTAAACAAAGGACTCTAAACCAGGTCTAAACCAGGTCTAAACCAGGTCTAAACCACCTAAACTAAACCAGGACTAAACCAGTTCTAAACCAGTTTAATCTGTTGACAGTAACATTAAATTGAAGCAGAAATAGTTTTTTGTTTTGTTTTTGAAAAATCATAAAACAAAAAACACAAGGACAGAAACTCGTCAGATTCTGACACGAGAACGACACAAAGTCACATGATCTTTTACGATTTTCACTGTTTTGTTTCTTCCTCTCGGACTCGGACAGTTCGTCCTCGGTCCTCGGTCCTCGGTCCTCGGTCCTCGGTCCTCGGTCCTCGGTCGGTCCTCGGTCCTCGGTCCTCGGTCCTCGGTCCTCGCGGTGGTAACAGTTTGTGCTCTGGACCAGACTTTCTGAAACTCGATCCCACATAAACATTTTTTCGCGCAGAGTCGGACGCAGCTTCGCTTTTCCCGTTATTCCCCAAACTCTGCCGGGACCAGACTCACAAACGGACCCTTCTCCTGCCCCCCGACACCACAGTCCCCACAAATCTGCCTCCTACTCCCGATAAGTCCTGGTTTAGACCTGGTTTAGTCCTGGTTTAGACCTGGTTTAGACCTGGTTTAGACCTGGTTTAGACCTGGTTTAGTCCTGGTTTAGTCCTGGTTTAGATCAGATTGGTCCAAAACAGGGACATCTTGGACATTTCTTGCCTAAACTGGGACATATCAGTGTTTTTGTGTAAATCCGCGGGGACACGGGGACACAGACTCGGGACTGGGACGGTCCCGGGGACACGGGGACGCGTCTGGACTCGAAACAAAACAAAGTCTGTTCTCACGATGAGCGTTTCCAACTCGAACTCTTTCTTCTTCTTCTTCTTCTTCTTCTTGTTTTTGTTTTAAACCAACTGTTGCTGAACGCGCAGTTTGTCTCGGGACGTTTCAGCGTCAGAACTGCGCACGAGACTCACGAAAGACAAAAGTTCCGCGTGTGCGAGTGAAAAAAGTGCGTGAAAGTGGTGAAAAGTGCGCAGTGGTGCGGGGGAAAAGGTGTTAAAGCGGCGTTATTCGGAACAGAGGGAACAGACAAAAGCGTCCGAGTCCGAGTCCGAGTCCGAGGACACGGACACGGACACGGGGCACGGACACGGGGCACGGACACGGCGGCGGAGGGACACGTACCTTTCTCGGCGGCGGCTGCATCTTCAGTTCAGAACATGAAAACAAAACACAAAAGAGTTTAAAGGAAGTGTCCCGAAGTGCGTGGACGCGTGCGGGGCGCGTGCGGGGGCGGCGCGCGGCGGTGCGGGCCCGGGGACAGCAGCTTTAACTCGGCTCCGGGGCCATGGCGCGTCCGGGTCCGGGGTCCGGGGTCCGGGGGTCTGCGGCGAGCGCGGTCCCGACGCACGGCCCCGGGGAGCGGGCACGAGCACGCAGCGGGGACGAGCACGGAGCGAGTGCGTCAAGACGGCGCGGGGAACACGGCCACATCCGGTCCACGCAGCCGCACTTCCGCTACAAAATAAAGTTGTTTTGTTTTAGTTTTTAATATGACAAATGCACAGTTGTAGGGAGTATTATCTGTGACATAAGAGTGAGTTGTACAGTTGTAGGGAGTATTATCTGTCACATAAGAGTGAGTTGTTGTACAGTTGTCCATCCATCCATTTTCTTCTGCTTGTCCGGGGTCGGGTCGCGGGGGCATCAGTCTGAGGAGGGACTCCCAGTCTTCCCTCTCCACACACACGTCCTCCAGCTCCTCCAGGGGGACCCCGAGGTGTTCCCAGGCCAGACCAGAGACATAGTCCCTCCAGTGTGTCCTGGGTCTTCCCCGGGGCCTCCTCCCGGTGGGACATGAACACCTCCTGAGGGAGACGCCCAGGAGGCATCCGGAACAGATGCCCGAGCCTCAACTGGCTCCTCTCCACGTGGAGGAGCAGCGGCTCTACTCCGAGCTCCTCCCGTGTGACTGAGCTCCTCACCCTGTCTCTAAGGGAGACGCCCAGCCACCCTGCGGAGGAAACTCATTTCGAGCGCTTGTATCCGCGATCTCGTCCTGTCGGTCACTACCCAGAGCTCATGACCAGAGGTGAGAGGAGGAACGAAGACTGACCGGTAAATCGAGAGCTTTGCCTTTCAGCTCAGCTCCTCTTCACCACAACGACCGATACAGCGACCGCATCACTGCGACGCTGCACCTGACCGCCTGTCAATCCTGCACCGATCCACCTGTCAATCTCACGTTCCGTCCTTCCCTCACTCGTGAACAAGACCCCGAGATACTTGAACTCCTCCACTTGAGGCAGAGACTCTCCACCCACCCGGAGAGGGCAAGACACCTTTTTCCGGTCGAGAACCATGGCCTCAGACTTAGAAGAGCTGATCTTCATCCCAGCCGCTTCACACTCGGGTCAAACCGCCCAGTGCTGCAGGTCCTGGTTCAATGAAGCCAACAGAACAACATCGTCTGCATCAACAGCAGAGATGAGATCCTGTGGTCCCCAAACCGGACCCCCTCCAGCCCCTGACTGCGCCTAGAAATTCTGTCCATAAACACAATGAACAGAACCGGTGACAGGTGCAGCCCTGGCGGAGTCCAACATGCACCGGGAACAGGTCTGACTTACTGCCGGCAATGAACACAGCTCCTGCTCCGGTCATACAGGGACCGGACAGCCCTTAGCAAAGGGCCCCGGACCCCATACTCCCAGAGCACCCCCCACAGGACACCACGAGGGACACGGTCGAATGCCTTCTCCAGATCCACAAAACACATGTGGACTGGTTGGGCAAACTCCCATGAACCTCGAGCACCGATGGAGAGTGTAGAGCTGGTCCAGTGTTCCACGGCCAGGACGAAAACCACACTGCTCCTTCTGAATCCGAGGTTCGACTATCGGCCGGATTCTCCTCTCCAGTCCCTGGCATAGACCTTACCGGGAAGGCTGAGAAGTGTGATCCCCCTATAGTTGGAACACACCCTCCGGTCCCCCTTCTTATACAGAGGGACCACCACCCCGGTTTGCCAGTCCAGAGGTACTGTCCCCGACCGCCACACGATGTTGAAGAGGCGTGTCAGCCAAGACCCACAACATCCAGAGACTTCAGGTACTCAGGACGGATCTCATCCAACCCCGGAGCCTTGTCACCAAGGAGCTTTAACCACCTCAGTGACTTCAGCCAGGGTGATGGATGAGTCCACCTCTGGGTCCCCAGCCTCGGCCTCCTCCTCGGAAGACGTGACGGTGGGATTGAGGAGATCCTCAAAGTTTCCCTTCCACCACCGGACAACGTCCCCAGTCGAGGTCAGCAGCTCTCCCCCCGCACTGTAAACAGTGTTGGTGAAGAACTTCTTCCCCCTCCTGAGGCGCCGGACGGTTTGACAGAATCTCTTTGAGGCCGTCCGATAGTCCTTCTCCATGGCCTCCCCGAACTCCTCCCAGCTCCGAGTTTTTGCCTCCGCGACCACACGGGCTGCAGCACGCTTGGCCCGCCGGTACCCGTCAGCTGCCTCAGGAGTCCCCCGAGCCAGCAAGGCCCGATAGGACTCCTTCTTCAGCTTGACAGCATCCCTTACTTCTGGTGTCCACCACCGGGTTCTGGGGTTGCCGCCGTGACAGGCACCACAGACCTTACGCCCCACAGCTCCAAGCAGCTGCATTGACAATAGAGGCCGAGAATGAAGCCCACTCGGACTCCATATCTCCAGCCTCCCCCGGAATCCGGGAGAAGTCCTCCCGGAGGTGCGAGTTGAAGGTCCCTCTGACAGAGGCTCCGCCAGACGTTCCCAACAGACCCTCACTACACGCTTGGGCCTGCCAGGTCTTTCCGGCTTCCTCCTCCGCCAGCGAACCCAACTCACAACCAGGTGGTGATCAGTTGACAGCTCAGCCCCTCTTCACCCGAGTGTCCAAGACACGCGGCCGGAGATCAGATGACACGACTACAAAGTCGATCATCGACCTCCGGCCTAGGGTGTCCTGGTGCCACGTGCACTTATGGACCTTGTGCTCGAACATGGTGTTTGTTATGGACAAACTGTGACTAGCACAGAAGTCCAATAACAAAACACCACTCGGGTTCAGATCAGGGAGGCCGTTCCTCCCAATCACCCCTCTCCAAGTGTCACTGCAGGTTGTACATTTGTAGGGAGTATTATCTGTGACATAAGAGTGAGTTGTACAGTTGTAGGGAGTATTATCTGTGACATAAGAGTGAGTTGTACAGTTGTAGGGAGTATTATCTGTGACATAAGAGTGAGTTGTAGCACAGTTGTAGGGAGTATTATCTGTGACATAAGAGTGAGTTGTAGTACAGTTGTAGGGAGTATTATCTGTGACATAAGTGCGAGTTGTTGGGATTTTTTTTCAACCATTTTCATAATTTTCTGAAAAACAAAACAAAAAGTTACGTTGCGTTTAAACAAAGAGACTTGTGGTTGAAAATATCGCGACAAACCGTCGTTTTATTGTGAGACTTTTGACGATACGATATCGTGACGTTTCAGTTTTTGTCACATCCTCGTGGATCCAGAGCAGCGCTGAAAAACCCAGACTCTCCGTCCTCCTTTATCCTTTGTAATATTTACAGAAAATCAGACGTCTACACTTTATTCTGAAACGTAACTTTGATGGAAACAAACTGTAAATGAAATGAAGTCGGGTTCGTCCTCATGAAACCAGCCGCCCTCGTGTCCACGTGGACCCGAGGGCCAAAGACGGGGCCAAAAACACCAAGTCTGGGCTCAGAATGAAAACTCAACCTTTTGTTCCACGAGACCCACAGACTGTTCCAGAAACGAGGACGCGGCGGACGGACGAGGACGCGCTGTCTGGACCGTCACATGTTTGATCTTTTTCTCATTACAGGCACTTAAAGCCGCACTGTGGAACTTCTCTGGTGGAGGGTCCGTCAAACGCTTTTCTATCTCCACCGAGACCAAACCAGACGCACTTCCAGGTCAGATCTGTGGAGAGGCGAGCCCGCTCACAGTCACATTTTTGACTCTAAAACCAAACAGCAAAAAAGTTTGTCCAGAATGTAAAATGTAAACACTTAAATCTGTCAGAAAATGATTTAAAATTAGAAAAATGATGTGTCGAAGTAGAAGATCATTTTATCTGAGAATAATCGAGCTCTAGACGAGATTGAAGCGTCTGAGCTCAGAGTTCATGAGCTGGAAATAAAACTAAAATCAAAGTATCAAACAAATCTGTGTCACTGAATCTAAAAACAGTGAAGTGTTTCAGGAAAAACTCTGGGAAATAAATTGTCGCTTCTTTTAAACATTTGTGGCCTAAATTTAAGATTTTCTGACGAGTTGAGTCATGGAAGAAATAAATGTGACAATTTTTAAGATTCTGCAACCAATTCAGAACAAGTGAGTCGATAATAAATCTGAAAACAAGATGAAGAACCTGATAGAAGTTTTTAAATCTTGGCCTGATCAGAGACTTTTGGAATCTCCCCTATGATCCGTCTCAGATTTGGCTGAAATTTATTTTTTTTATTTCTAAAATCACCAAATGAATCTCAAATTTTCGCTCAGTCCCTTGAGTCATTTCTGAGTTTTGGCCCATTGAATTTCTGGGGCCATGTTCACTTTTTCTGAAGCTTTAATTTATAAACATGTTTGAGCTTCTCTGTCAGGAGGAAAAGTCCCTAAACTCCTCCAAAAATGACCCACGAGACTCATTTTCAAAAATTCTGTTTGAAATGAAGGAAGTTAATAGTCGATGTTTTTATGACTTTAAACTCATCAGAATCTGACAAAGTTTCTCTGGTAAAAAAAATTTGATCAAATCTAACTGTGTCACATGAGGAACCGAGGAGCCAAAGAAGGAGCCAAAAAGATCAAACCTGGACTGAGACTCTCCACCGTCCACATGAAAACTCAGAAATGTTCATTCTCTCAAATATTCAGGTTCAACAGTTATTTTGTAAAGATCTGCTTGGAGGAAATATTCGATCTTGGACCTCAAAAAAAAAAAAAAATTAATTAAAATAAAAATGTGAGTGGCTTTTTCGGCCCACAGCGCCTCCCTTAACAAAGATACTCAACATTTGACATGGATGTTCTGGATGTTGTGGATGTTCTGGATGTTGTGGATGTTGTGGATGTTGTGGATGTTGTGGATGTTGTGGATGTTGTGGATGTTGTGGATGTTGTGGATGTTCTGGATGTTCTGGATGTTGTGGATGTTGTGGATGTTGTGGATGTTGTATGGGATGTTCTGGATGTTCTGGATGTTGTGGATGTTCTGGATGTTGTGGATGTTGTGGATGTTCTGGATGTTCTGGATGTTGTGGATGTTGTGGATGTTCTGGATGTTGTGGATGTTGTGGATGTTGTGGATGTTGTGGATGTTCTGGATGTTCTGGATGTTGTGGATGTTCTGGATGTTCTGGATGTTCTGGATGTTGTGGATGTTGTGGATGTTCTGGATGTTGTGGATGTTGTGGATGTTCTGGATGTTGTGGATGTTGTGGATGTTCTGGATGTTGTGGATGTTGTGGATGTTGTGGATGTTCTGGATGTTGTGGATGTTGTGGATGTTCTGGATGTTCTGTGATGTTCTGGATGTTGTGATGTTCTGGATGATGTTGTGGATGTTCTGGATGTTCTGGATGTTCTGGATGTTCTGGATGTTGTTGGTTCTGGATGTTCTGGATGTTCTGGATGTTGTGGATGTTGTGGATGTTCTGGATGTTGTGGATGTTGTGGATGTTGTGGATGTTGTGGATGTTCTGGATGTTGTGGATGTTGTGGATGTTCTGGATGTTGTGGATGTTGTGGATGTTGTGGATGTTGTGGATGTTGTGGATGTTCTGGATGTTGTGGATGTTCTGGATGTTGTGGATGTTGTGGATGTTCTGGATGTTGTGGATGTTGTGGATGTTCTGGATGTTTGTGTTGGATTTCTGGATGTTTGTATGATGTTGTGATGTTGTGGATGTTGTGGATGTTCTGGATGTTCTGGATGTTGTGGATGTTGTGGATGTTGTGGATGTTGTGGATGTTCTGGATGTTCTGGATGTTGTGGATGTTCTGGATGTTCTGGATGTTCTGGATGTTCTGGATGTTCTGGATGTTCTGCAGCGTCTCACAGCTCGTTTGGAGAGACCAGTGAGCAGAACATTACAGTATCTAACCTACTGGAGACAAACACATGGATAAGTTTCTCCAAGTCTGATTTAGACAATAAACCTTTGATTTTTGCTATGTTTTTTAGATGGTAAAAGGCTGCAGATGTTATTGATTTGATGTGGCTGTTAAAGTTCAGATTTCTTGCCTGATTTGAAGGTTTTAGAGCGAGAGACTGGAGGTGATGTTGACACTGTCCCTTTGTTTCTGTGGATCAAACACTAGGACTTCAGTCTTGTCAGAGTTTAGCTGGAGAAAGTGTTTAAAGGGTTTAAAGTGTTGAATTGTTTTAAGCCGAGTCAAGATTCTTCAAGTGTTCAAACGTTTCTCGAGCTCCAGAGTGAAGATGAAGTGAAGGTTTTGATGTTGTCACAAGGTGGAGCTGAGCGTCTGGACCTTTGGACTGGTGTAATATTTGACCCTTTAACCGTGTGATTCTGTTTATATTTGAACAGATTTGTGTGTGAGGAGAAAACAAAGTGTGTTAGAGTTTAACATTAACACAGTTAAACATTTAGACTTTTACATAACAGTGTCTGTCTGCGTCACACTCACCAGAGCTTTAAACACACGACGATTTAAACACAGGACGATTTAAACACGCGACGATTTAAAAACACACGACGATTTAAACACACGACGATTTAAACACAGGACGATTTAAACACGCGACGATTTAAAAACACGAATTAAACACACGACGATTTAAACACACGACGATTTAAACACACGACGATTTAAACACACGACGATTTAAACACACGACGATTTAAACATGCGACGATTTAAAACACGACGATTTAAACACACGACGATTTAAACATGCGACGATTTAAAAACACGACGATTTAAACACGCGACGATTTAAACACGCGACGATTTAAACACGCGACGATTTAAACACACGACGATTTAAACACACGACAATTTAAACACACGATTTAAACACACGAGGATTTAAACACACGACGATTTAAACACACGACGATTTAAACACACGAGGATTTAAACACACGACGATTTAAACACGCGACGATTTAAACACGCGACGATTTAAACACGCGACGATTTAAACACGCGACGATTTAAACACGCGAGGATTTAAACACGCGAGGATTTAAACACGATTTAAACACGCGATTTAAACACGCGACGATTAAACACGCGATTTAAACACGCGATTTAAACACGCGACGATTTAAACACGCGACGATTTAAACACGCGACGATTTAAACACGCGACGATTTAAACACACGACGATTTAAACACACGACGATTTAAACACGCGACGATTTAAAAACACGACGATTTAAAAACACACTTCAGTCACTTCTTTATTTCTTTTGCTTGTTTTCCAGATTGTGTTATTCTGATTATTCAGATTATTATGATCAGAGTCACTCGTCTCTTCAGTCACTTTAGATTAAAAGGCAGATTAACGGAGATTTTAAGAATATTTTTTATTTGATTTTATTTTGACTAAAACCAGGACTAAACCGGTTCCAGCTCGTGATCTTGTGTTCAGTCGAGATCAGCGACTCCAGGACTGAAATGTTCTAGATGATTCTAGTGAAGGTGTGTGGAGTTTAAAAACACAGTGGAGCACTTCCTGTATCACCACATGATGACATCACCAGGTGGAACAGAGAAGAAGAAGAACTGGTGTTAAATGTGCAGGTTTGTGTTAAACGTGTGAATGAAACAAAACACGAGTCGAGGAAACAACAGCAAAAACTGAAGAGATAAAATTTCAAGATAAAATATTTATTTGAACACAAAGTGTTTTATTTGAAGTCTTTGAGAGTTAAATGTGAGTTGGAGTTGAGGTGATTTGTCAGAGTTGATTTGGTTGAAGTTAATTCAACTTCTCTTAGTGTTAATTTGTCTCCAACACTTCAAACTCCCTCCAGAGAAGAACCAGTTTGAACCAGTTTTGTTCTGAATTTCATCTTAAATTAACTCAAATAAAGTGTCAAAATAAAACTCCTCTGTGTGTTGTTGAGTTAAATCAGGATAACTCTACAAAGTGTTATCTGTTTACTCTCTAAACCTTCATTTAACTCTGGGTTTGGGTTAAACAGGAACTTTGGTCCAGTTTTACTTCATGAACTTTTACACAAATGTTAAATTAACTCTAGAACAGAGTGACTCAGAGAAACTCTGAGGAAATGTTCAAACTGACTCTGTGTGAGTTCATTTTCATATGAACTGAGGCTTAAACACAAACAGAGGAGTTTCCATTAACATTTCAGGCTAAATTCACTCCTCCTCAACCCTGCGTCTGATTGGTCGACTCCTCCTGATCCCTGCGTCTGATTGGTCGACTCCTCCTGATCCCTGCGTCTGATTGGTCGTTGGTCATGTGATCGTCACCGCCTTCAAAAACATTTGTAAAGTTACAGACGACGACACAGAAACACAACGTTTCCTGACGACTTTTGGAAATACGACACACAAACTCAGACTGGACTAAACCAGAGAGTCCAGACGTCCCCGTGTCCCCGGGACAGACCCCGTCTGTGTCCCCATGTCCCCCAGATTTACACAAAAACACTGATTTGTCCCAATTTATACAAGAAATGTCCAAGTGTCTCTGTTTATAACCAGTGTGATTTAAACCAGGTCTAAACCAGGTCTAAACCAGGACTAAACCAGGTCTAAACCAGGACTAAACCAGGACTAAACCAGGACTAAACCAGGTCTAAACCAGGTCTAAACCAGGTCTAAACCAGGACTAAACCAGGACTAAACCAGGACTTTGTTTGTGTTTGTGCTTTTATTGTGAAGAGTGTCGCTGACTTCCGGTGTAGTTCTTTGTGTTGTTTGTGTAGTTTGTGTTTCAGTGTCTCTGTTATAGATCCACGTGTCCTCTCATGGACATGTCCTCCGCGTGGACATGTCCTCACACTCTGTCTCTGTCCCCGCTGCGCTCGGATCTTTTGTAAAACCAGCGGTGCAAAAGCTTTAGATTCTGTGCTAACGCTACATGCTAATGCTAATGCTACACGTTAGCCTGGGGGTTTAGCCGCGGAGATGCACGCGCCGCTCCGGCTGCACGCGCGCGCACGAGCCGCGGCCGCAGGCCCTGAGACACGGAGACAGAGGACACGGACACGGGGACAGAGGACACGGACACGGGGACAGAGGACACGGACACGGGGACAGAGGACACGGACACGGGGACAGAGGACACGGACACGGGGACAGAGGACTGGGACTCCCGGGACATGTCCTCCT